CTTTCCCTATGTACCACCATGGCTTGGAACCCTAAAATATCTCAGTTTTGAAACAGAAAACGGATTTCAAGGTTTCTGAAACAAAGATCAAATGGTGGGTTTAGGGAGAGAGAGGGAGAGAGTTTGCTTACAGCTGCACAGTAATGAACCACCTTCACGTTCTCAAGCTCCACGTTCTCGGGGTGTCGCCATAGCATCGCCAGGACAAGGTTGTACACTAGAGGGATTGGTTTGTACACTTTCTCGAAGAACATATTCAGAAAATCCTGCAAATTCACACATACAACTTGTTAGAATAATATCATATATCAGATATATGACTCAATACCATAATCAATATGGTATTTATGGGTTATTTTCACGTTAACTTTCCGATGAAAATCATTGGAAAAGCTTAGTGAAGATTTAGAGATGCACTCGCCTGCTCTGCAAATGGTGTGGGCGGTGTGACCTGTAATGTCTGGAGGAGGTTCTGATAAGTCAAGAAGCTTGGCTCGAACACAAACATTCCCGCGTTGAAGTACAGAGGAGGAGGAGGTCCCATCTCAGTGAGCCACGTGGCGGAATCTGGGCACTGCTGGCAGTAGTGGACGGAGTACTGTGGAGAGTGGCTCCACGTTTTCTGGCAGAAGCAGTCCATTACGGCGTAGAAATACCCGTCTGGTTTCTCGAACAGCTCGTCGATGTTGTCATAAACTTGAATGTCTGCGTCCAGGTAAATCATCTTCCTGTATTCTTGGAACTGGTTGCGTGTTTTTTCACGGGTCACAAAAAGAGCAGAAGCAGTTTAGTTCTCAGAACAAAATCCTCCTCTATATATATGTATATATTACAAAACCATACATACATACATGAGGGAACATGATGATATATATACTTACATTCCATATACGTAGCTTCGAGTAATTGATCACATAATAGGCCATGGCGAACTGAACATGATTATCCGGTGGATAAACAGGCTCGATCTCGCGCACGACGCATCCTTGAGCAGTCAAGATCTGCTTGTGTTCTCGAGGGACGTCAGGTAATACAGCCACGACAAGAGGGTATTCACTTCTAACCTTACGCAAACCCTTTGCTAATCCAACCACTCCCTTCACATAGTCTCCGCTGCCTGCCAAAAACGTCACGTAGGCTCTCCCCGGAGGGGCCGCTGCCTGCCAAAAACGTCACGTAGGCTCTCCCCGGAGGGGCTCGAGCCGCCGCGGGTTTGGAGATCACGGTCTCGGGGATTTCAGGGGCCATTTTAAGCGATTCGAAAGTATTGGGGAGAGAAGTTGAAAAGCTTGAGTGTTTGAGAAGAAACCCAATATAAGCCTTTAAAGTTTTTCTGAGCTGTTCTTGCAAAATACAAAGTGAACCATTAACGTCTCGTTTAAATAAGCGTGGGACGAGGGGTAATTCCGTAATAACTTTCATTTGTTGTCCGTTTTTTTGGTTATTATACGCTTTTTATATTTTATATAAATTGTTAAATTATAGTTTGGCGGTATATATATATACAGAAGGAAATGAATCGAGGAAACCTTGTAAATTATATTTTTATAAAAAAAATTAATATGTTGATATCGTTTTTCAAATCACGACGGACCAATAAAACGTTAGGTATTTTATTTTTATATTTTTGAATATGTCACAAAATGATGTTTCGGTAAGTTTGACAAATAATGTATGACCAAATCGAACATCGAATAGAATGAATACGTTTATTTATGGTTAAAATATTAATAACGAAAACGTTGTATTGTTTATGTGTCAGTTTTTGCTTTGCATAAATAAATAAAATATTATGTGACAACATTCTACATAATAACGCTTTCCATAAAGATTTATAAATTAAAAAGTTTTAAAGGAAAAGGTAAAAAGGAAAAGGATATTTTTCATTGAATCAAACAGCTTTTTTCCGTTTTAAAATAATTTTTTAACAACAAAAACGATCATTTTTTAAGACTCGCTTCCTATGTGAGCAAAAAAATAATAATTTTGGTTAAACAATAAACATTTATAATAATTTTAGAATGAAAAATCCAAAAAATATTTAAATTACAAATCAAATAATTTCAATTTTTTTAAAAATATAAAAATATCATTATCATTTCACTTAAAAACAATACTATACATATATATGTATATACACTCACCAAATTCATAATAGATATGTCATCTACATCTTTTAATTCATATATATATTTGTAAATGTCTTTTCAAATATTTATGCGTGCGTGGCTTGAGCCAAGAAGATTTATTTGTCATTTTGTTTTAAATAATAAATAAATTTTTTAAACCGACCAATTAATTGTTTTACCGTTCAAATAATGGAAAATTGAAAAGATACGCAAAGATGATCTGTGGAAAAGCTTCGAGAGACTACTTTGCTTACAACGTTTATCAGATAATCTAATATATCAATTAAATTAGGAAACATCAGTGGCTAGTTTCGGTCATGATGTTGGCAACATCTTTCCTACTTTTTTAAATTGCAAACAAAATAAATAATTTTTTAAAACATATATTTATTAATGTGAGATAAAAATCAAGGTATTTCCACGTAATGAAACTTCAATTTTCATTGAAGATCATGGAGAGGCCGTGTAGAGGCACACACAACCCATATATATTATTTTTATTAACATCAAAGATTAAAAATTCCACTATTTATATTTTCTCTAAATCCTATTATTAGGAAAATCCCATGTAAAAAGAAATATATACTATTGTTTAGATTGTTGATCGAAATCAATAAAAAGAAATGATAACAAACATTTTGTAGTGGATAACAAACTCCACTAAACCTAACCATATGAAGCGACCAATAACGATGAACATGCATGCAAAATTTTACGTAACTAAACCTAACCTGGCTTGTGTACGCTGTGCTTGCATGTCTTTTGTGTATTTGCTGACATTACGGTATTAACATCGTGTTTATGCTAATCTAGTAATTTCAAAAAAAAAATCACCGCAAATATCTTCTTTTTTTGGCAATGGAATTCTAGCATTATATATATATACCCGGACAAATTCGGAGATAACGGTCAATTAAAACATTTTATTATTTTTCAATTCTTTTCATATTGATTTATATTCATTTGAGTTTATATAACCAATTGATTTATAGATTAAACTCAAGACTAGATATGGTTTGTATACCATTTGCTCTGATTTTACATAACAAAACCGAAATATTCACTTATGGTTTCAACACAATAAGAAACTTATCGATTTTGAACCTGAAACAGGAGAAGATGAGAGTGTAAAAGTCTTGGAAGAATATCGCAATCCCAAAATTAAAATCACTTTCTTTAGCAAACATATAATAATATCATAGACCACAAAAAAAAAAAAAGGGTGAAACTGTTTTTCTTTTCTTAACAAAGGAAAGGAAAAAAGAAAAGATGGTAATAATACTTCAGCGCTGCGTCAGAGAAATTTCTCAACTCACCTCAAAATCTCCGGCCTTGCCTCAATTCATGTAACCCCTCAGGCCTTGCCAGAAAAAAGAAGACCAACGAAAGGAAACCCAATTAATAATACCGTTTTGCTTCGTATTAGCGTAAATTAATGCATTGGAATGACCGATATAGGCTTAGACACGGGCTGGATACCCGTGCTTTTGGGGTGTACAGACCCAAATCCCCGTCTTTTCGGGTTTTGGAAATCCAAATATATCTTCATACTTTCGGATACTCAGTGATACCCCAAATATCCGGGTATAATTTGGACCCTAACTCCACCATAAAAACTAGCTTACGATTAGGAGTGGAGGTTAACCCTCCTTGTATATTAGTCCCAAATCTCTCTCTCATATACTCAAACACGCGGCCCCACGCTGCGAACCTAATCCTAACCCTAGGCGAGTCCGGCGACGGATATATGCAAGTACGGGTTTTCACCGTCCAACACCTAAACCCGAAGGTTGACCTTCACCAGACCCATACTCGTCTGATTTTCGGGTCCCGACTCATGGGTCAGGTTGGTTACTCGAAAATACAAGTTCACCTGCCCAGCCCTAGATCTACCATAGCATAAAATAAACTTTTAATTCCTGAAACTGAGCAGCCTAGCAAACCGAAAGGCGATAATTCCCCGGTTGTTTAAAATGATCTACACAAAAGAATAGGCATTAATAATGGCATACTTTGTTAGCGATGTTGTTGGAGAGCCAGTCCAGACCCTCGTAGAGCCCCTCACCAGTGGTAGCACATGTGCTCTGGATGTACCTGGATAAGATACATAATAAACATGTAATGTGTATCGGTGCTAAAGTCAAGTCGAATCGAGATGAGTTAAGGAATGTCGCAAGAGAAAAAACAAATCACCAGTGACGCTGCCGGAGAGAGTGGAGGCCGAGCTTATCAGTTATCTCGGCAGCGTTCATCGCGTTTGGCAGATCCTGCTTGTTGGCAAATACAAGCAGCACCGCGTCACGTAGTTCATCCTGCATAAACAATCATTACAGATCAAATCTCATAAGTGAAAAATCCATGGAGAATATTTGTTCTTGGTCATATATGGTGTCGTGATATTAGTGTTATATCAAGAGAAAAGGTGCCATAAATCTAGTTTTCTTATTTGTGCAAACTCTTTTTTAATGAAACAAAAGCAGAAAGGGGAATAACTTACCTCGTTCAACATCCTGTGAAGTTCATCCCTTGCCTCAACAACACGGTCTCTGTCATTGCTATCCACTACAAATATCAAACCTTGTGTGTTTTGGAAGTAGTGCCTCCACAAGGGACGGATCTACAAAGACGATAATTCAGTACCTCTTTTCATTATGTTTCTCTCTCTTTTTTTTCACATTTCATGGAATTTCATAAGAAAAAACAGATAACTCAAACCTTGTCCTGACCCCCGACATCCCAAACGGTGAAGCTGATGTTCTTGTATTCAACTGTCTCCACATTGAACCCTGTCAAAGAATACTCATCAAGTCTAAGCATGTTGGTCATTAACAAATTTTCCTTACAATAGAAACTAAATTGTCGGTTCAAGTGGATTCCACTGGTGTACAAAAATTTCTATACAAGCATGTGCATGGTGGGCTTATAGAGCTCCCGAAGTTTTCCTTGCACCAGTAGGAATCTATATGATATTACAGTCCATCAACTGATTCCAACCACCAGAACCAATTTTCCAGCATAGTTTAAAAGAAATTCCACAATCTATCAGTTTTACGAAGAGTATTTGCTTGGAAAACAATTTCAATACATAGGAAATCCCCAACAACATAAAAAAAAAAACATGATCCATGAAAGTGAACTAGAGAAGACTATTGACCAGACCAAAAAGCATTACAAAAAGATGACCAGCTCAAAATAAAAATCTAAATTTGCAATAATCATTCTGTTTTTAAGGACATACCAATGGTGGGAATGGTGGTTACGATCTCACCAAGCTTGAGTTTGTACAAAATGGTCGTCTTACCAGCAGCGTCAAGACCCACCATAAGAATGCGCATCTCCTTCTTGGCAAAAAGCCGGCTGAAAAGCTTGGCAAATGAAAGGCCCATCTTCCTTCAGCTGGTGGTGACCCTGAAATAACCAGAAGGGAACAGATCATGAACCATAAACATCCTCATCACAATTCTTCAAACTTTTTTTTTCACATTTTCTTTCTAATCCTCAATATTCATATACCAAGTTTTGAAAGAGAAAAAAAACCATAAGGACAAACAGATCAGAAGCAATCACAATAGAATCTATCAAATCATCCTAACATGATGAGCACTTCAATCTGACGTTAACACAGAATTCAGCACTTTTGCTTTGTTTTTTGCAAAACATGGATACATTGGGATCCACATAGTAGTGGATTAGCAACAAGAAATTTATGATTCAAAAAGAAAAATCACAAATTTTAAGTGAATCAAATCGTAAATTATATCAGAGCCAACCTGAAACAAAGAAATAATGAATAAGATAAATTCCAAACGAAATGATCAACCATTATTTACATATTTCACGAAGATCCAAAAACCAGGTTTTAGCACAGACTCCAGGTATCGCAGATATCCATTGATAAATAAAACGATCGAAGTAGATTCGACGTGTTCCATGGAAATTCGGATCAGAAGCTTCAAATCAAGAATTTGAAAACAAAAACCATTAAATCTGGCCACAGGATCAGAAAACAACACCGAATTCAGACAGTCTTCGAACCACACAAATCGCATTTTCAGAAACACCGAAGAACAGACAAAGCAAGCGAGATTTGACCTCTTCGGAACAAGAAATCCAACACACTCCTAACCCAAACAATCGATGAAATCTCCATGCGATCGAAATTCAGATCCAGGAAAAAAACAAATAAAAGCTTGAAGATCTGAAAGGATGGAGACTACCTTTCGAAATTGATGCGAAGGGATCTCCGAGAGCGAGCGAGCGAGATAGAGAGGGGGGGCTTCAAATCAACGCGAAGACGTGATGACTGAATCCATATAAAATGTACTTTCCTAAAAGGAAATTTCCAAAAGCACCCTCTCATTTCAGAATAATTTGAAATTCTACCACACTTAAATTTCTATTGACAACAGGACCCCAAATATTTTGTTTTTTTTTTTATGGCAAATGAAACCAAATATTTGTTGAATAGCCAATTTTCTCGGATTCTTGGTTGGTTAGGTGTCAGTCTGTATCCATCTCGTGCATGTATTCGAATTTCAAGAATCGTCGATATCTGTCTTGAGTGTCCAAGACTTTGGATTTGGTCGGTCAGTTCGTCTTCGACAAAAACTTGAACCACGGGTTCGATTACGCAGACACGGATAGATCGTTCGAAAAGTCCGAAACGAAATCGGGTAACCGACCCGTATCCACCCCTAATCTTATGTTGAACTGAAACTCATTCACCACAAAAATTTTATTCTCGAAAGCATCAAAAACTAATTCAAAGAGATTCATAACTTACAAAATGTTTCATGTAATAAATTGAACTTAAAGAAACATTTCAACGACTATGAACGGACGACTGAAACTCCGACAATGTCAAGGTCGCCTCGGAAATTTCGAGAAATCCGGTGGCCGGCGTTGCATATAAGCCGTTCTTCCCTCGTTTCCTTCTCCGGTTCCGTAAAATATAAGCGTTGCATTGCCTCCAAGCTCCTGTTTAAGAAACACATATATGAGACATACAACACCTAAAAGATCGTCCAGAAGCTGTGGTTGCAGACAACATTCTTGCAAGAGAATTACAGTTAAGTTGTAACCGAGCAATATCTACTTTTGTTCCTCGTATCTCGTTGAGGAATTTTGAACGAGAAGAGGGTATGTACCTGAAGTCCCGCGTGGCCATCATCGACGGCGTTAAGAGCTGCCTTAAGTACACGAATGGCGGTGGGGCTGTTCCGAAGGATTTCTCTGCACCATTTCACTGTTTCTTTCTCCAAATCGTCGAGCTGGAAATCGAAACACAAGGCAGGCACTGAAGAGGGAAAGAAAAACATGATAGAAAGGAATGTTCTTGAGATATTACCGGTACAACTGCATTGACAAGTCCCATTTTTTCTGCTTCGGAAGCAGTGTAAAACCTCGTCATGAACCACATTTCTCGTGCCTTCTTCGGTCCAACCTAACATTTTTTTTTTGGACAGTCAGTGTAGTTAAATCAAAACTCTTCATCAGGACAGTGTTTACAAACATTAGCCATACCAGACGAGACATGATAGAACTCCCGTAACCAGCATCAAAGCTCCCAACCTGCAGCAAGAAAGGCAAGACACGATTGAATAAAGACGAACAATTGTTCAATTACCAATCTGAAGCAGATTTTAACATAGACCCGAGAGAAATGAGGGCAGCACCTTAGGACCAGTTTGGCCAAAAATGGCGTTATCGGCTGCAATTGTTAGATCACAGACCATGTGTAACACATGCCCTCCTCCAACAGCATAACCAGCAACCTAGCTCAGTTAAGAAGCAAATAGATTTGCTCTTTAGCAACATATACAGGGTAAAAGCTCGTTGCAAAAGACGACAAAAAAGAAACTACGAAAGGTTGTGTCTCAAGGTTTACCATTGCTATAACAGGTTTTGGCAGCCGGCGAATTTGGACCTGAGTAGGGAGAGAAGTTGGAGAGTGAACTATATATATGTGTAAATATATATAGAAAGATGGAACCTTTCATGGTTGCATACCTGAAGGTCAAGAACATTAAGACGGCCGACATCCTCAGGGTCAGCATACCCGTCTTGTGTTCTCAAAGCCTGGTCACCGCCGCTGCAAAATGCTTTGGTTCCCTGAAATTATCGATGTCGCTAATTCAGACCAAGAATTTCACAACAGAACTAACACATTGATACCGTCGAAAACATAAGAAAAAACATCAAAGACTATACTATCCAACCACCATTTCCAAAAGAAATGAACTAGCTTTCCCTCCATCTTGGCTCCAAACTAGGAACTGCTCCTCAGTACTTCTCCCCAGAATAAACTAGAATCTTGGGCCAACATCAGTCATAGACAGGACAGATTCCATTTCTAATGAGTACCCATCACCAAAATCTTTGATTCTTTCTATTCTTCCTTCTTTTGTGAATAGAAGAAAAAAACTATCATCTTCAATGTTCACCAACATACATTGACAAACTTTTCTCTGTTTCTTCTATTCATCACCGCTTCTGTTTACTAGAGATAAGCGACTAACTATGAACTAAAACGTTACCCATAATGGCAAGGAAAACACAGAAGCTGAGGAAGAACACTGTACCTGACCAGTGAGTATGATTACTCCAATGGAGCTATCGTCTCTGGCATCATTGAACGCACGCATAAGCTCCTTCACGGTCTGAGGCCGAAACGCGTTTCTTCTCTCAGGCCTGTTTATCGTAATCTGCATCCCAAGAAAACGCAAAGGAAGGAAAACCTCAATTCGAAAAACCCACCAAAAAAAAAACTTTACTCTCTTGGGTATTTCCCCGAACAAGTAACCGACGAACCTTCGCAATGCCTTCACCGACCGCTTTCTCATAGATAATGTCGATGAGCTCCTTCCCGTCGCCGGAACCTCCATCATCGCCGGCGCGAGCGACTCTCCTCCAAACGACTTCGTGCGTCGGCACTTCACCGTGAACCCTATGGAAACTGTCGTTCATCGAAGAAGCGTTGCAGAGCTCAACAGAGCCACCGCGAGTAGTATCCCATCCGACGGGGATGAGATGGTTGGTGACGGCGGATATTCGCCGACTCGCCGCGTCGAGTTCCTTTGAATCCGCCATTGGAGAAGGAAGATACGAAGCAAAGAGCTTAGACGATCGGATATTTCAAGGCATGGACTTTGACGATGGAGAAGATGAGACATTTTATCATCAGATTTAAATCTTAAATAACAATCATGTTTTTTTTTCAAAAAGATTGAAGGCGTTGAAGGTCAGAGGAAGTGGACAGAATTTTTTCGCGCTTTTGTTTGTTGTTTGATTCCGATCGTTTGGGCGATAGGATAAGATAAGGCGAGACGCAGCAGTTGCGTTTTTCAAACGCGCGTTTTGGATTCAGTCGTTGTCAATTTTTTGTGTTTAAACCTCTAAACTTTGGTACAGCTTCTAAATATTCCCTAATCTTTGGTTTAGTGACATAAACTCCCATTCGCAGGGTGGAAATTGAACCACCAAATAACAAGTTCTCGATTTCAACGTGGTTATTAAAAAATTAATAAAGATCGCGTTTCTTAATAACGACATGAATTAATATGAGCCTCGAATCTTCAATTATAATGTGAAAATTATGAATTATTATGTGAAAAATATGGTATTTGTGGAAGTTTAATACAAATTTCTATTTCTAAACGTTCGAAGACTACTATCCAACACCATGTCCCGTCATCGAGAACGTTCATTAAATAAGATCGGACCTTTTTGCCTTAGGGTTTAAAGAGGTGGAAGAAGGGGATGACATTGTGGCAAAAGGTTGGATTTTTTTTTTTTTTGCTGTGTACATATATTTACCTTCGAGAGTCTTCTTGAATCTGGTGAAACTGTAGAAGATCGGAATTTTAGGGTTTGTATAAGGAAACATTGATTTTTTATTTTTATTTTTATCTTTAAAAAGAGGGCTTTTGGATTTGAAATCCGTACTTGTAAAGATTGTGAAAACTTCCAAAACTTGTAAAAAGTTCACAACTTTTTGCAGATTGTGAAGGATTTTTAGAAACCCTTGATTCAACAACGCTGGATTTCCAATGGGTTTCGAACTCGTAAAAGACTGTGATGTGCTGAGCCTTCTTGTTCACACTGTCGAAAGCTAAATATGGATGAGACAATCAATCATGTTTATGTGAAATGTAAATGTGGGATTGTGTATATTCTGAGGAGGTGAAGATTGAAGATTCCAAGTGTATTGCTTTGCCTCTGAATCTGCTTGAAAGAGTGAGAATGGAAATACAGAATCAATTTCTTGGGCAAGGGCTTCACATGGAAGCGACCAACTTAGGATCGTTAGGTAGCGGTCTGGACCCAAGCCATATAGGCATTGTAGCTTAACCACCCATTTGGACAGCCTAGGCAGCATTAGATTTGGATTTGCATTTGCTGTAGAATCCTCTTAGATGAGGGATCGGTTATTGGCCCGCTAAGCCAAGAACCCTCCTTCCCTGATCTGGAAAAGTTAGGTAAAATGTTTAGAAGTTTCCGGGCAATGTCGTCATGTTACAAGTTCAATGTACGTATAATCTTCTTGTTTTGCTTTGAACCTATGTGACAGAAAAGTTGAAATTTTGATATGTTTGGTGAAAGGGTGAGTTAGGGCATATACTAATAATTGGATGCGGGTAGGACTCTAATCCTTTTAGATACATCGGTCTGCTAGTCCTTCTTGCTTAAATCTTCCATCAAGTTCGAGGTTTTAGAGCATTTTTGCTGAAACAGAAGTTGATTTGTCATGCACTGGCTTGATTAGCATTCTTGTCCACGACTAGAATAGTACAATGGTTCTTGTTACATCACCGAGTAATTGTATGTGTCTGTTTTAAATGTACTTGTACGTCTGTACATACGCATATACATATGTGTCTAAATTCCTGTTTTCTTGGTTGACGTATCCTGACCGAAGAATTTGCTCTATTTGTTGTTTTATCTGTGAAACCTTAAAAGGACTGCAATGCAGCCTAATAAGTTGCAGAGAACAAAGAGTTACGAGATCGTAACTCGCATGTTCTTTCCACCGTTTTCAAGCTACCGATAGATATTTACGCTGCATATTCGAGGTACTCTATATATTGTGTAAAAAACCAATCGAACTATATGTGATACAACAATATACATACTGCTTATCAAGCACTCAGGCTAGTTGCTCTCTCTCTCTCAAGGGAGAGTCTAAAGCAACAAACAAGCCTGCCTTACACTAAATTTCTACCCTCTTAAAACACATCAAATCACTCTCAAACAACATAGAATCGATATAACACGCTTATAGTAATCTGTATAGCGTAATAGGGTCACTAAAGATATACAATGGATCATCTGAATTCCACTCCATTTGGTTACTCTTGGCAGGTTAACAGAGATCATGGTCGGACTGAACTCTGTTCCTCGAGGGTTTTCCAATCTGTAAGCAATCAATAGGAGGAACTGTTGGTGTACTGAGCTCTCCAAAGGTCTGCCAACAAAAAGGGTCATACATGTGATACAATTGTTGCATTGGCTTTAGCTCAATGGAGGATAGCTGCACGTCTACGCAGGGGAAGTTGTCACTGCAAGCGAAATGCACGGGTTTCACAGTGTAAGTGCCTCTTATCTTCTCGTAGGTGACTCCATTGACAGCCACAGCAGATGTCTGGTTCTTGCAACTGGCGTGGTCACAGTAGAACTGGTCTATCACTATCGGGAGTTGAACCTCCGAGACTTGAATGTTCGAGAACAGAACTCCTTGCACCGAGCCTGATCCGCCCTGCGGTTTGCATATCCCGGAATCATTTTCTCATATGTTTGAACTAATGGAACAGATATTGAACCCAAGTTTTATTGGATCTTGGAGAAGATTTTGTTACCTGCCATGTCTTGATCCTGACAGCGGTCATTGTATTGTGAAAATTTACATCTCTGACTGTGATGTTGGAGACGCAGGCTTTGGTACTATCTCTTCCAAGGCTCCCAATGCTGATACCGTGTCCCGGGCCACAGTTCACATTGTGTATGTACACATTCGAGCAACCCGTTTGAATAGATATGCAGTCATCTCCTGCACAAGGTGATTGATTCATCAGCCTTCTATCCATACATTCTCTATGCTGAGAAGCCTTCAACTTGTTTTTTGTTGTAGTTCTGCTCAATCAAAACTTACCACAAGCAAGAGTTGAGCTGTGAATGAGGACATCTTTGGAGTTCTGCAAGTGTATCCCATCTGTGTTTGGACTATCTCCAGGTGAAGACACACTCATGTCATGCACCAAAACCCCGACACAGTTATCGAACTTGAGATGGCATTGTGGACTGTTCTGGATTGTGATTCCTGTCACTGTCACGTTAAAACTCCCGTAGAACCTCAGCGCCTGAACCAGTATGGCAACGGCTGTTAACTAATGTCCCACCTGTCGGGATCAGACAAATTCAAAATTATCTCTTAAACTCTTACTGTTGGTTTGATGCTCGGCATGCTTCCACTGAGCTCACTTCTCACCTGTCAGGATCAAACAGATTCAGTCCCTTATCAAAACCAAGAATCTTTCAGAGATGAAGAAGAAGAAGGTAGTTACCGGCATTGGTGGGCGTTCTTGAATAGAGTTGTTTAACGGTACAATGAGTTTCGACTCATCGTCTAAGGGATCTTCAAAGGGGTAATCTTGCCACCACCCAGAGCCTCTTCCATCGATAATACCTTTCCCTTGTACTGTGATACCTCTCAGCTTCGTGAACTCAATCCACCACAACAACCCTCTTCCCCATGACTTCGAATCCATTGGTGCAATGATCGTCCCGTCAAGCTGGAATGTAAAGGTCAGATCTTTCATTCATAAAGGCCTTAAAGCTTTAACCTTTCACAACAAATTTCACAATCTCTGATGGGAAAGATCAAACCCCACCTGAAACACTATGTTGGCTTGACAGTAAGGACCGGAGAAGGAGATTGGACCGACGAGGAAAACGTATTCATTCGGTACGACCATCGTTGAGGCCTCGACTTTGCAGGCGGCCGCCCAAGCCGCTTCAAACGCCTGCATTGCATTCTCCATTTGTTAGATTCCTCTGTCATTAACTCAGTTTAGTTAACACTGATCACCTTTTTTTTTTGGCAGACCAAACACAATTCTGGTCTGAATCACAAGCTTGTAAGTGTTCATGCTCTGTGGTCCCCTCATAATTTGGTATTTCTGTTGTCACTTCTTTAATATTCTTTTGTCTCTTGTCTCTTCTTTCCTCTTAATAACGTCTTTCCAATGGAAAAAAAGTAAAAAAGTTTTGAACTTTTTGTTAAGAAACCTTTTCTTGAGCTCTGAGTTTTTGCTCTGTTTCTTCTTGTTCGCGAGAGAGTTGAAAGTATCACCTCAATGATCTCTTTAACCACAAGAAACCGAGAAAACCCCCCATTGGATTGAATTGTACGGAAACATTACCTTAGTATCATCAATCTTGCCATCGCCCTTTGCTCCGAAATCCAACACATTGAACACCTTTGGGGGTTTAGGGGCCGACCCATAACCCTTTTTCGGGGGCTGAGGCTGTGGAAGAGGCGAGTCGTTAGGGTTCTTTGGAGGTTTTGGCTGTGGTTTAGGTTTGGATTTGTGGTAATGGTGGTGAGAGCTGTGATGGGCGTTTCCATGGCTTCTAGGTTTCTTGCTGGACAAGGAAGTGGACTGGGCGGAGGAGGAGGAGCTTCTGTTGTGTCTCCAATGCCTTCCTCTTCTCGCAATGCAGATCTCAAGAGTTGCAGACCAGACAAGTAACGCCAGTAGCAGCATCATTGTGATGCTTCTCTCACTTTGTCCTCTCCTTATCATGTTTGTTCTCTGTTCCACAGGACAGGAGAGAGAGAGAGAGAGAGAGAGAGGTTTTTCGTGTGTGTGTTTTGAGGGAAACAAATGGGGGTTCAGGATTAAATAAGGAATGGGGAGGTCCAAGAAAATAGAACGTTCACGGGATATATCAAATGAGAATTCATGTTGTAATTAAAATATTCCCAAATATGTCTGTTTTTTCTTTGAATAAAAAAAAACTCCAATATGTTACCATATCATTTGCTTTGCTAAATTTTCAATCAAATCAAATAGAAACGTCATTACCATAATAATCTGTATATATTTAGTCGCCAATCATCTAATCTTAGTCTAAAAAAATTATTAGATCGGTTTAATTCCGATTTAGTTATTACAGAACTGACATTCCATCCAAGTAAACTACGTTTGCATTTGGTGTGTGTATTATCAAACCCCATATTTGGAGGAAGCGCTAAGTGTACGCCACGTGTAGGGTTTTGATTGGTTGCGGATTCGTCTAATTGTTTCGCAAAGACAGCACCTCATCTACGCCAAAATACACATGTATGTTTTGTATGTATGTATGTATGTATGTATGTATGTATGTATGTATGTATGTATGTATGTATGTATGTATGTATGTATGTATGTATGTATGTATGTATGTATGTGTTCTTGATGGATTCATTAAAATATTTCACTCTCTTTTAATCCTAACGAATTTCGTAATCTTTACTATCTTCACGTAAATATCCATATCCGATATTGTTTCTCTTAGGCATTTATATACGACTTTAAATAAATAATAATCGATAAATTCATACGTTAGTGATCGCGTATGAATTCAAATTCATGCGTGATATATCACTATCTACAACCTTCTAAAATACAAAACTTTTTCTTTCAAAAATAAGATTAAACAAAATATATTGCAACATTAAATTCTAAATATGATAATTACCAAAAAAAAAATTCTAAATATGAATGAAACAATCTATTATCTATCTATGCCCGTGTTGATGATATCGACAACCCGACAAATAAAAAGAGAGAAAAGCCTTCATAAAAAGTCTTTTCAAGAATCGAGCTCATTAGAATCCCAAGGCTGAAAATTAAATCGCGATATATAATTAAAGAATTTTTTTTAATAAAAGGGGAATAAATAATAATTCGCCATATTAATTTTTATTTTTGAAGGAAGAGACACGTGAGTGGGTCTATATGTTGTCAAAGGGGGGCAGTGATTATAACGCATCTCTTGGTGCTCACATGCATCCCTTCACGGGCTTCGCTTTTGTTTTTATTTTTATTTCCTCATTCTATCATTCATTTTATATTTCTTATATTATTCTAAAATAACGAGGGAATCTCAAATTTCAAGTAACCATCCAGGAATAATAATTCATATAAGAACAAACGGAAAATATGAAGAAAAACTTTATGTTTATTCACTCAGAATATTAAAAAAAATCTTTAAATGCTAATTGCCATCTTTAAATATTAATTACCATCTAAAAACCAAGAAAAGAAAAATTACTCAAAATCAAAATCAGAAGAAAAAAACAAAGTAAAGAATTTACATTTCGAATACAAACTGAAGATAATCGGATTCGAATTTATTAGCCATATAATTTAATTACTAAAACATGGTCATTTTATTATCTTTATATATATATATATGTGTGTGTGTGTGTGTGTAGTCATTGATCAATAAAGTAATAGGAATCATAATAATATTTCTCTATCAGAAAATTTAAAAAAAAAAAACATAAATTTTCCTTTATTTTTCAAAAGAATTCTTTGTGATTTTTTTATGTAAAAGATTATTTGTATTAAAGTAAATTGTTTTTTTTATCCTGTGGAAATAAAAACAAAAGGAAAGGCAACAGAAACAGAAAGTAACTGAAACTTGTTGCCTAGGTAACTGATTATGTTTTCACTGTAGTATTTTTCTTAACTGAAATTTGCGCACTTTATTATTTTTCTTTTGGGGGTTTCCCCCTCCATATATGTATTAATATTCATTTCCCAATAAAATTAGTGAAAATTATGATCGTGGCAAAAATAAGAGTATTAACTCAACGTATCATACGTAATATAAAGCCCTAATTAAGTACACTGATTTGTTCATAATAACTGCAATTTATTGTTATTTTAGCATTTGATTAAAAAAATTTAAAAATGTGGCGATATAATCGTCATATGGATGTAAATATCGAGAATAGACATATAGTAATAACAACAACAACAGATCGTGGGCGAGTAGTCAAGTTTGAGATATGAGGTAACTCTACTTTGAGGTCGAGTGTTCGATTTCTGGCTGGTGGGGAGGGAGGTAATTTCTGGGTTTATATGATCCATATACAAAGGCTGCTCTCGGGCCGGAGATTTATCTAGTCAACGCGTCCGAAGGGTAGCAGTTAGGGGTCCTCCGTTATTAAAAAAAAAAGTTTACAGCAATATATCAAATGAAAATTTATAGTAATAACTAGAGTTATAATAAATAGAATCGAATAATATATAATGGTATTTGAATTGATTTTTTTTTTATATAAAATTTATATAAATGTAGTTGTTTTTATGAAAGAGGCAAAACCTAACTAATACAAAAATAGAAAATAAATATTTTTTCATAACATTGAATTTATACAAAGTAAACTGTTTAACAGGTATAATTTTCTTGAATTTGAAATTTCAAATAAAAAATTAAGCGAGCCAAAATAAGAATTATTCTAATAGTACATAGTAGGTGACAAAAACAATAATAATTGGGGACGAAAACATACAAGATCAACAACAGAAACATGACATAAATACACGGACACGACTGTGCAAAATCACGTACGGATAATAAAAAAAACCATTTTTGGGATTCAGAAAAAGCTTTGTGCGCTCATAGTTTCTATATTTTTTTTTCTTTATATATTTATTTCAGAAAATAAATAAATAAATAAATAAATAAATAAAGGAAAAGTACAGAAAGAAGGCTCAACTACCACAGTTGTCTAAGTACTTGTGTTGTCCTAATAAAAAAATAAAATGCAAATAATTTGTCCTTCACGTGAGAGTAAATTCATTAAAATAATCACTAAGTCTTCAGAAAAAAAATATCACGTGAACAAAAAAAAACACAAACAAGTTCGTGTTAGAAAAAAATAAATAAATAGATAAACTATGCTTGAGTTGTGAGTATTTTCTGATTTCTCTTATGCAAATAAAATCAAATCATCACATGAAACTTTTTATTTTGACGAGCACATACATATTTACCCTTTGAAACATTTACTTGTTAGTCCAAAATCATAATTCACCCTAATAATAATAATAATAATAATAATAATAATGGTGATGTTAATTATATATATGTTTTACGGTAGACGAAGAGCATGGAAAATAAAACAATATAAATCTATTAACATTAATTCGTAGGGAAATATACTACAGAGTAAGAAAAAA